TTTTCCTTACTGTAGGCTTTGATGCCTTCCTTTAAAAGGAAAGAGAACTAGTACGTGGAGGGGTGCATGTATTGTTTTCATCTGATTATGTCATTGCATTTTAGTTCCTATATACAATTGCAGCAGCAACTATATAGAAACTGCTTAGTCACATCTACAGTCAGAGATTCCATCGCAGCAGGATGTACTGAAGTACTGTCAGCACACGTATCTACATAGTAATCACTGTATGAAACCTTACTAATAGTTCCATTTCAGGGGGTTTTGGCGGGGGAATGATGGGGGGCGAGGGAGGGGATTTTTTGTGTCTCCTCTGCACTTCCAAACACGAATACTAGAAAGAACCTATCAGCCGGAGGACCAGGGCTTGAAAAATCCATTAATCTATAGAAAGTAGCAAGCATTCTCAGGTGAGCTATTGGATCAAATTAGTAAAGAAAAAAGCAATACTGAAGATGACTGAAGCCTCGGGAAGACAGAAAAGTATCCTTTTATATTTGAAAGGTTCTCTATAGTTATAAAGACTAAAATACATTTTTCTTTTAAAAGGTGTAAACAAGTTCTGCAGAAATTTATTTTGTTAGATTTAAATTGATTGTGTAGGCCCCACTACTGGCCAGAGAAAGATTTCTACTCACCAATGGCAATTGGAGATTTCATGCTCTACATTTCCAAGAATATCTGTTTTCATAATTATCAGTTTTGGTAATTTGCCTTAATATAGGTATCAATAGAGATTTACATATCTACTCACTAAACAAATCTGTGAAGATGTGAAACTGGTTGAACTTGTATGGAAATAAATGTATTATTCCCCCACAAATATTCATCCTCAACACACTAGAAAAGTAGACATTTTAAGCCCTTTATTGAGTCTCAGTTCTACTGTTTCCTAAGTATGCTCCTTTATTAAGAATTTGAAATCTGTTTTTCCATTAGTTAACTAACAAACCGCTGGTCACACTTCCTTTAGTAACAAAATGAACTACTTTAATATTTGTTAGCATTGCTGATAAGAAGTGATATACAACAGGGCGGTAACCAAAAGCACTAAAGTTACCCTTTATTTTACATATGGAGTAATTTGTGTACAGAACACAAAGAAAAATGCACTCAAAAACATTTTAAGATTAATTTTAAGAATTCAATCTAGCCAAAGAAGGTAGTTTTTTTACACTTAGAAAAATCTCTTACTACTCCGTTCTCTGAGTCCCACTGCTCTCAACTGATATGTTTAAATATCTTTGTACTAAATATAAGTTTTCAGTTTTCTGAAACAACTAAAAAATGCTAAATTAAACTTTTCAGCAGAGACTTTAATGGGGAGAAAAACAACATAACACACTTAATGTGCTTTTAAAAATAACTTGCCATCAAAGCTGACATTTTATTGGAAGATTATAATGTTACCATTACATGGACAGGTGAGCTACAGTGTTAGGTATTTCCTCAAAAAAATGTCATTCCCCTTTTTACAAGTTTTCAAGAGGTAACTAAGTTTGAATTATATCCAAAGACCACACACTTTTTTGCATGATTTTTTAAATTTAGGCCATTTATTTAGGTATCCAAATACAGCAAACTAACTTTAGGCACCCATGTATTAAACAGTTGGCCCAGGTTATTAAGGCAAGCCAATACATCATCACCTTACTCACCTTCATTTTTGGTGTGTTTCTTATTATGCTCTCCTCCTTCCTATTAGAGTAGAACTAAGTTTCATTAACACAGAGACAACTCTTAGTGTACAACAGGTACAACGTAAGTGTTACTATGAGGTTTGAAGAGATAGTGGGGGCAATTAAAACATTCATAATATTGTGCACAGAGAGTTAGGTGCCTAACCAAATAGGTAATTTTCAAAAATAATTCTCTTACTCAAATAGTGCATGCTCTAGTGCATCTAAGAAAAATATCAAGCTTTGCATGCATATATGTATATGTGTGTGTTTTAGCCACAGCAATGTATGGCGGAAGATAATATAGCAGGGGAAAATTAAGGTTTTTTATGGATTCAAGTTAGATACAAAGGACACCCACACTAAAATCAAACCAAGCTTTCACTCCTGGATAGCAAATCCTGTAGTCAGGATTGCTATTATATCTGGTATTAAAATGTAAATTAGTGAGAAGAGTGATTAAACATGACATCACTTGGTCCATATTCATTCTGCAATTTCCTTATAGAAATTTGCAAGATGTTTTTAACTACTGTATATACTCGATCATAAGGCGATTCGTTTATAAGCTGACACCCCCAAGAGGGATAAGTAAAAATGGAAATTTTTTTATGACCCGTTCATAAGCCGACCCTATAGTTCAGGGGTGAGCAAACTTTGACAGAACCAGGGGGTCAGGGGAGTAACCCCTGTGACCACCCCCCAGATGACCCCACCCCTAGCCTGGGACCCCCACACTCTCCCCATCCCTTCCCACCTTATCTGGGGAGGGCTAGGGGAGGATGTCTCTGGCCTGGCTGGAGCTGCTCCGACAGGCTGGGCAACGCGGTCACAGCCTGCTCCGGTGGGCCAGACCAGGCGGTGCGGCCGCAGCATGTTCCAGCGTGCTCCGGCGGGCCGGGCAGCACGGCCAGAGCCTGCTCTTGGGGGCAGGGCCGAGTGGCCCGACTGCAGCCTGCCAGCCCTGGAGCTGCAGCTGCTTCGGAGGCTGGGGGGAGAACAGCATGCCCAGAAGTGGAGAGATTCTGGCCCTGCCTCTTCCCTTCTGGCTGTGCTGCCTCTCCTTGCTCCCTCTGTTGGGGGAGGGGCTGTGTCCCACATCTCCTTCTCTATACCCGTTCATAAGCCGACCCCCTTCTCTGGTGCTTCCCTTTTTTACTAAAAAAAAATCGGCTTATGAATGAGTACATATGATATTCTATATCTGAAAGTCAAGATGTGATTTTGCTTTGTACATACACCATGCAAAATAAAAGTTCTGGAGTCTGAGCACAGCTGACAGTGTTACTGGCTGCTCTGCAACTATTACTATTAATTTTTTAGTGCAGACAATGATAAAACCTTATTCTTGTTAGTAAAAACAGCAGAGAAGTCTTGGAAAAGATCCTCAGAATAAATATGTGCAATCATAACGTGTTCTCAATAATCACTCTTTTAACCTTAACCACATTAAAATATCATTACCAGAATTCTACTTATGGCAGAAAATTCTCTTAATTTACCTACATTTTATGAAACCCAGAAGTGTACTACAGAGCTTACTAAGTTTTAAAGAGAGGATCCTAAATAAAAGTTTAGCTGTAAGTCCTCGATATGCTTAAAACATAAGTTATTCGGCTCTGGATCTAATTCTATTATACATAAATAGTAATCTCTTCCCCCCCCACCACCCCCAAAAAAAACCAAAACACCCTTTCATGATTTAGAATGACCTCTGTGGAGGGGTTACAGCCTACTAATTTTAGCCTTCAAAATGATCTTGAAGAACCAAACAGACAGTGCACAATACACAGCACCATAAACCTAAGGTCTAGTTTGACTAGCACCAGTTACCTAATGAGAAGCTACAGAATAACTTTGATGACAATGGGAAAGATCAATGTCATTCCCCTCCTGAATAAACATTTTACAATAGCAATCAGGGAATTTCAAGCGGTGGAGTTTTCTTGACATATTTACACCCCATTCGGAATACACTTTTGTCTGGGCCTAGTTTATAATGTTACCAGAAATTTAAGATAAGATACAATCTCATCTTATGCTGGGGTACTTTATCTACTAAGAGAGAAATCCTAAACTATCATCATGCTACCAACAAGATTACAGTACAGTTCACCAAAAAAAAAAATCTTAAGAACAACTGTATGCTGGCTGACAGGCTCAATCACTTCTCATGTCACAAGACTATTACTGAACTAAATGTAAAAAACAATTCTCTTATAATAGCAAGTCAGTGACAGACAATCTTACAAGCACAAGTAGGGCTGTGGGACTTTTTTTTGCGATTTTTATTTTTAAAGATCAGGTAAGTTTTGTACTATTATACAGGAAGTCTAAATAAATTGTCAAATGGTACTTCTGATACTAATAACTAATTTGCTTATTCTAATTTACACATTATTATTTTGTTAAACCCCTTTAACTAGAAAAGCCATACATAAATACACATCAATATGTATTATAAAGAAAATATACATTGTTTTGATCCCATCCGTTAAATGAGAAACTTTCTGTATTTAAAAGTGAACTAAAGTATATTTTTGGCTCTGAATAGCTCAGAGTATTATTGCATTTCTTTTGTAACAGTTTATGACCTCATAAACACCTAAACACTATAAAGAGATGCATTTCCTGATGATACCCTAAACTGCTGTAAGGAAAAACATAGGACTCTGCATTGGAGTTTTTGAAAAGTAAGTAAAAATATTAATAATTTTCAAATATTTTGTTGTAAATGGCATAGTTCCTTTTTAGATCCACATTTTACATAATTATTTTTAAAAGATTATATGTCTCTTGCCTTAAAGAAGTTGAAAAGTGGCAAAGCCACAGTTTAATCTTTTTCCTTGCACTGGCTGTGCTAATTAATTAATGTCATTTTCTTAAGGTAAAATACAGGTTTTAAATAAATTTCCAACTAGGTTACCATTTTTTTTTCACAGAAATAAAAATTAGTTAAAAAAGCCAAAATGTACCCTTAGACAAAACTAGAGGAAAAAAATTCCCTTCCACAAAAATGTTAGGTCACATTAGATTTTAGGGGAGCACTTTGCAAAGTAAAGGCCCAGTCCTGCCAAGTTACTCTCACACCCCAGAGTTATTCCTGCATAGAGTCCTACTACGAGTATAGGATCAGGCCCTAGTGCTGGAAATTGTGTCACATTAGAAGATTTTACTATATTATATATATACACACACACACACGAGTCAGTCTCCTGTAATATAAAGATATAAATAAATATCAAAAAGCATGTAACCAAATTAGAGGTGAATACTGTGGTGTCCTAACCAAATTCTAACTTAGGTAATTAGTTTGCCTACCTAAAATTCTCCCTGTGGTTTCATTTGGAAACAGTATTCTTCTTCAGTTCCATCCTAAAATGTTGTGCAGTGTTGCTGTGCGTTGTTAAACAGTAGCCGTTTTACATCCCAGAAGTGGCTCCATTTCAGTGATGGATGAAGTGGTCCCTGTTATAGTTTGTATATCAATTCGTTAAGTTTGTAAAGCATTTGAGGAACCTTCAGGATGAAAGGCACCATACAAATTAAATATAAACAACATTAGTTCTCATTCAACCTCTTCAGAATAGGCCTAAAACCAATCCACACATACAAAGCAATTCGAGATGTGCACAGAGCTAGATCACCGGTAAAAGCTAAAAACCTCTCAATTAATAACTGCTAAAATCTAAAACAAATTTGTAATCAAATGTCCTAGATTCAGATCTGTTAATTTGAAAGGGACTGAGCATTCCAAGTAAAGGTGATTATCAGCCTCAATCATGGGTTCCACTTGGGGCTGAACTCTTAAAAAATTACCAAACATTTCCCTAAATTTTACTGAATAATATCAGCTTTGCGAGCTAACAAACAGCAATTCTGCAGCCTACAAAGTGATAAAACAAGCAAATAATTACTTTAAATGTATTGACTGAAAGTGTTAATGGAAATTTGCTGTGATTTCATGGCACTTAATTTTTCATTTATTTTCTCTGTGTCCAAGAAGTCAACTAAGTCAGTTCACAAGCAGGAAGGAGCAAACAGTCCTATCAGCCCAGGAAAAAATTTTTACCCAATGTGTCAGGATGCGAGGGGGCTTTGCCCCTTTCTATCACCTGCCCTTGCAGCATTCCCGAGCTCAACCCCACTATTTACTATTTCAGTACAAAGCAACTAAAATATATATATATATATAGGCCCTGGCCTTGTTAGCTATACATATTAGAACAGCCCAACTACTGAAAGGCCTCATTTATCTTTTGTATATTGGCCTACTCTGGGCCTCTGTGTGGTGCACTTTTGCAAAGGTGAAGTCACTTATACTATTCTTTTTCCTCATCATTACTGCCCTGGGAGATCAACTCACTAGCAAGACCACTAATTTCCCCTCATTTAGACAACAATTCATACTCCTAATTAATTCATACTCCACAGCTAAAAACGTGAAGCATATCCTGGTCTCATTAAGACAGATCATTTTCTCACAAGACACTGACAAGCAGATTTTTGTCTCCACTGGTTTTGTAACAGGAAGTTTGTTCAAACCCCAGATCCGAAGAGGAAACAATGCGTGTCAACATCAAGCCACGACAGAAGGTGCAGCAGCTAGTGAGGCATGGAGACCCTCCCCGCGATATTTGTCCTCAAACTGAAGACACAGAACTGGCTCTCTGGGCCTGCCCCTACAGAGGCTGAGTTGGGGGAGGCGAGAGGAGAGCCCGTGCCCAGATCACCTGGCTCTGCCCAAAGGAGAAGTTCCTCACTCAGATACTCAGGAAGGAAAAGACCAGAGAGACCTTCACACCAGCCTCCCCCGCTCCCCACCACGGGGCCTAGGGTGGGGAGGAGCAGATCTTCACAGGAGCCTCCCCCTTTCCCCAACTCCCCGCAGGGCCTAAGGGGGGGGGGCTCCACACCAGCCCCCCTCCGCAGGGCCTAAGGGGCGGAGAAGAGGCACCAGACACTCCTGCCCTCAGGGGCTCTAACAGCCCCACTCCGCCGCCTCTCCAGGCCCGGGCCCGCGCTCGGCGGCAGAGCCCAGCCGGAGCGGAGGAGATACGGCGGCGGCGCGTCGGTACCTTCGCTCGGCTGCCGATGAGGCGGCGCGGACGGGGCCTGGCGGCAGCTGCCTCCCTCCTCTCAGGGTCGGGTCCGCGGCCGGGCGGGGGGTCGCTAGCGTCTCCGGCTGTGCCCGCTCCCACCCTGGCGCTCTGGAGGAGGCTCACGACGCGAGGCGCTGCCTGACGGTCTCTCGCTCGCCCCCTCCCCCGCCCCGCGGTGCTGCGCAGCGGCCCTTCCCGCCCTGCAGCTGCGGCGGCGGCGGCGGCCTGCGCCCGGCTCCCCACGTCGGCCGCTCTGCTGCCCCCGGCGGCGCGGCGGGATCAGCACCGCCACCGCCCTCCCGGCTCCTGCGGCCGCTCCCAGCTTCCACCCCCGCCCCGCGGCTGCTCTGCTCGGCCCTCGGCAACAGGAACGGACCCCTTCAGCCCAGCTGCCAGCGGCCCTGCGCGGCGCGCCTCCCCTTGCCCAGAGCGACCCTTGGACCCGCTTCCTGCCGCCCCCCCACCGACGTTACACAGGCACCGCAGACACACTAACCGCCCCATACTGCCAGCCAC